CAACACATACACCACTCTATGAAGCACAGTCAACACATACACCACTCTAATGAAAGCACAGTCAACACATACACCACTCTATGAAGCACAGTCAACACATACACCACTCTATGAAGCACAGTCAACACATACACCACTCTATGAAGCACAGTCAACACATACACCACTCGATGAATGTATCTCAGTAATAGCCACAAACCCATTATGGCAAACCAATATATTTATGATATAATTTTCATAACCTTACCCTTTCACCTGGTTGGATAGTTACACTTATATTCTTTATCACCAGATCCAACCCATTACGATACCGCAAACTGTAGTCTACAAACATTACTTCACCTTTCTCTGGCCAATCCTGGTCTGGACGATTATTGTGGATGATGGGAGCAGCCTTGGGTAATAAGAAAATATTATAATTTGTATATTTGATATAATTCGTACAATTGATATAAGATTATCTCCAGAGTTATTGGTTATACTACTTTCATGCCACACTTGGACATGTGACCAAATGTTCATATAATACATGTATTAAGGTAGACGGTATTAAGGTTGTAATTATGTGAATAGTGAGAAGACTATCCACTGTAAAGCTCACATTTTCTATAACATATTTCTAGCCAAGGAGAAAAACTACAACAGGTTAAGCTCTATTGGGAATTTGGTTAGTTCATGTATATATCATAGTATACTTGATTCACTTGACATTGTGCAATTTTTAAAACATGTGGGGTGTGCAACTTGTTTCCCTGGACAATAGAATTCACAGAAAGTACTTGCCTCTCGTTCCTCTTCTGAATATTCTTTCACTCGTTCCACTGCCACAATATTGGTTTCCAACTCACTGGTCATCCTCACCATATAGTTCAATGATTGTGTGATCTAAAACAAAATAATCAGGGGGGCGGGGGTTAACCAATAAAAATCAGTTCAATTTTGTGATGTCATATTTGTACATGATTATTCATTCCCTGCAATAACTTGCAGACCTATAGTTTGAAATGATCAACTCTAATTTGAGTTTATGAATAAACACTTTTGATGCAGAACAACAAAACAAGCAGCCTATCGGCTGAGATAGCTCCGCTGTTAGCAATGCACATTGCAATTAAAGAACTGAAGATATCATAAGAAAATGAACAATATGTATAGTATCAAAGCAATGGGACTGTTTTCAACAAGCATTCAAAAATATCACTTTTCACCAAAAATGACAAAAATAATCATCAAAATTAGATAATTGAAGATATCACCACGAAATTAACAAATCTGAAAAGATCCACATGTAGTACCTATATATGAAATATAAAATCAATCAGACTTGCGGTTTTCAACAAGAAGTCGAAAGTATCACTTTTTACCAAAAATTAAAAAAATATTCACTAAAATTAGAGAATTGAAGATATCATCATGAAATGAACAAATCTTAGACAGGACCACATGTAGTACCTATATATGTAATATCAAAGCAATTGGACTTGCGGTTTTTAACAAGAAGTCGAAAATATCACTTTTTACTAAAAATGACAAAAATATTCACCAAAATTAGAGAATTGAAGATAACATCATGAAATGAACAAATCTGAGAGAGGTCTACCCCAGGTACATACACACCAAGTATCAAAGCATTCCGACTTGTAGTTTTCAAGAAGAAGTTGAAAAAGTAAAACATTGACACGGACGACGACGGACAATCACTCATATGACAAAGTCGACAGCGGAGCTAAAAACTAGTTTATGAATGAACTCAGTTGTATGTATTTAGAGCAATTTTTAACTCAAAATGGTCACCATCATTTCCATAGAAAAATTTGGTGCACTTTCTTTTTATTTGCTCTTTGTCATCAAGATTTGTTTTTATTTCCAGCAATGTTACTATCCATTTACAGTTAGATATATAATTGTAAGTTTCCAATATCAAAATCAAATGTAATATCATAATCATATATTCGTGCTTGAAAATGCAAAAAGCAGTGTCGTCATAATTTTAAACACACGTTTCTTTCCAGATATTTGAAATGCACTCGCCTATATAAAAAAGGGTGATAAAAAATGACCCAAATAATTATAGAGGAATCTCAGTAGCAAGTAGTATAGGCAAAACTTTGTTTCATAATTAATGATAGAATAACACATTTTTTATGAGAAAATAACATTATTAGCGATAACCAGGCAGGCTTTCGTAAGAACCGCCACACAACTTATCAGATTTTTGTTTTAAAAACAATTAATCACAAGTACATTTTGTCTGCTTTGTAGACTTTAGAAAAGCTTTTGATAGCGATTGGAGAACAGGACTATTTTATAAAATTAAAATAAAAGATCAGACATATTTAACATAAAGAAAAGCATTAAACAAAGGTGTGTGATGAGCCCAATAACATTTAAACTTGTTATTAATAATTTAAATATACAGCGGAGAAAACAGAACATTATCGACAATTTAACTTTGGCAGAGAAATGTACTTAAAGCTTTCCGTCAACACAAAACTTTGTAGAGCATATGCCCGTTTAAGGTGTTCAAATCACCTAGCTATAGAAGTGGGTAGACACTGAGGAATTGCCAGAGAGTATAGAATTTGCGATCAGTGTTTGTCTGAAATTGAAGACGAGTTCCATTTTCTGCTAAAATGCCCAAAACTCAACACATTCAGGCAAACATTTCTCCCCCAGTCTCTACAAGACAATGCAGCAAACCCCTTGCATTATTTTTACAAGATAATGGCATCAGACAACCCGACTGATATTGAAAGTGTTGCTTTATTATGTTTTCATGTATTTAAAATTGAAGAGAAATTGTAATTTAAGTCTTTTATATTTTATTTTCAAACCTATGACAGAAATGTATTGATTTATTATTATTTATCGTACATGGGCCAGAGGTCTAAATACGAATAAAATTATAAATATTTCCATTAAATCCAGCTATTTTGGATGAAAACATTATTACATCACTGCCCTATGCAGATGATCTTGTATTAATTTCACAAACATCCACTGGCTTACAAAATGAAATTAACATACTTCAAACATATTGTGAAAAATTGAACCTGTAAATCAATTTATCCAAAACTAAAGTCATGATTTTGTATAACCGTCACTGAAGACATCTGAAATTTAGTATTATGACAAAAAACCCATTAACTGTTTAGCTAACATCTACATATATCTGGGGATTTTGATGAAGCAAGACAAGCTATGGCAGAAAAAGCAGCAAAGGCCTTATATGTTCTAAACTTTTTAGATTTCAGCATTCCCATGATGTGTTCCTGCGAGGAAAAGATGTAAATATTACAAGGATACAGCAAAGTATGCACTCAGACAGTACAGTACGCATCCACTTCGATCGATACTCCTGCTGTACAGTCCTTGTGTATACTTAGCAGTATTCTCGTATTATTATTAAAATGCAAGGCTAACCTGCAAAGCATATGTAATGGACAATCCCACAATGCCTGGATTTAAAGACTCACGACCAATAACAGCAAATAGTGCTGCAAAAAACACCACACAGTTGCCAACAAACTCCAAACGTAAAGCCAGCCACCTGTGTGAGAGAAAACAAACAAATAAATGAAACCAGAAATCTTGAAGACTTCAATTAATCATAATCATGAAACAAGTAACTTCACCATGCATAACTGGAGATGCAAATATTATGCAAATTAGCTGATTAACATGATGTTGATTAATTTCAAATGTTCAACTACCAACAGTAAGCATGTAGCTATATTTAATCTATTCCTAAGTATTTATCACACTAATCAGCTAAATTATAATATTATCCAGTTTATTTATTAAGTACTATTTAACATTTAACTACACAAACAAAATTATTCCATACACAACCAAACCCAGAATGACAGAAATGCTTGATTTTGATGAATTTTAAAGATAATCGATCAATAGCTTGTCGTTTTTGATTGAAAGAAAAAAATGAATTTTAATTAT